CCTTTCACCTGCAGACTGCTACAGTGAGACAGAAGCTGAAGACCCCGATGATGAGTCCCCCAGGCATGGATGTGACCTGGTGAGTTGCCCCTGGGGACACCCTGGGGAGGGGACGGAGGATCCTTGTCTCACCTCCCACCCCGTCTCTCCCTCAGCCAAGGAAAAGGTTGCAAAATGCCCCAGAGAAAGCCCAGCTCCTCCCAGCTAGTGAGCCCGGCAGCCCCCAGCCCTGCGCATCCATGGGTGAGTGCTGGGGGGTGACATCTGTCACCCTGTCACCTTGTGTGCATCCTCTATCAAAGTTAGGGCCTCCCTTTTGCATGTGTACGTGTGCTGGGGGGGTGTGTACCTTGAGTTGGGATGTATTTGAGCGTGAACCATGTAGTGTCTTGGGATTCTCTCAGGGCAGGGGCAGCACCTTGGGATTTCGGGGCTGCCCTCCTGCTACCCTGTCCCCTTTCCTCACCCAGGACCCAGTGGGGAGGATCTCGAGTGCCTCATGCAGTGCTTGAAGCAGGGGGGGGTGTCCCTCATCGGGCGGCAGCAGGTCCTGACGCGGGAGCAGTGCCGACGGTCCTTCATCCGGCGCAGCAAGAACCCCCACATCAACGCGAAGGTGCACACGGTGCGGGCCCTGCAGAGCACGCTCAAGGTGGGAGCCTACGGCCCCCCTCGCCCTGCAGAGCACCCTGCCCATGAGGTGGCCCCCCCAAAACACGCCCCTCTTTCTCAGCAGGCGAAGCTGGTGGAGCTGCAGGCCCTGGAGCAGCTGCTGGACGATGCCGCGCTCACCTCGGAGAAGTTCACCCGCTGGAAGGAAGAGCACCAGGAGCTGTACCAGGAGCTGCAGGAGCGGTGGGCAGGGCGGCAGGGCCCGGGAGCGTGGCCTCCCCCAGGAGGGGGCCGAACCCTGAACCCACCAAGACTTCACTGGAGCAGAGCGGGTGCTCTGCCCGTGCGGGACACTGGTGAGGTTTCTGCGGGCTCAGCCCCCAGCATGGACGTGCCACAAGAAGAGTGGCTTCTGCCCCATCCCCCTCCCTGCGGTGGGACGCTGCACCGAAGGCATGACTCTTCTCAAGGATGTTTTGCTTTGCCTGCACATTGGAAAAGGGGCTGCTGAGGACATCCCATAGGCCAAGGCTGCAGATCCCCAATGGGCTTCGGCGTATCCCTTGTGCTAACCCTCCCTCTCTCCACTTTTTTCCCCTCCATCTCTCCACTTTCCTCTCTCATTACCCTTCTGTCCCGTTTCCCATCCCTCTCATTCCCAGTATCCCCTTTTCTAGCTCTCTGTATGCCCCCTCAGGTGCCCCAGAAACCAGCTCCCAAAGTGCAGACGTCCAGCCCCTGCTCCTAAGCCTAAGGGGCCAGGACAGAAAGCTGGTGCTGGGCATCACCTGCAGCTGGTGAGCTCCGGAACAGTGCCACCAACATGGCAATCCACCCTTGCTTTGCCTCCTAAAACTCCATCTGTGTACTGCCCCCTCAGCTGCCCCAGAAACCAGCTCCCAGAGTGCACACATCAGCCCCAATTGCTCTTCCTCAACAACCAATGCAAAACTGCTAACCTGAAATAAAAAGGTTTCGTGCAAGGGTACCTACTGCTAGATGTGCTGATGCACCGATAGATGTGCGGCTGAACCTCACCCCATCCAGAAACTCGCTGGAGAAGGAAAACTCAACTGCTGTAAATGGAAAAACTCAAAACAAAAAGCTCGGAGAGCACAAAGCCATCAAAAGGCTGAAGGAACAGCAGAGGCCAAGAGCTGAATGAGCTCCCTAATGAGCAGCTGTGCCTCAGGTACACCCTCACCACCCTCCCACATTCCTTAGGGAGAGGGGAGGGGAAAACCACCACCTGGGATAAAGGCAGCCAGAGCACCCGCGGCATGTTTGCTCATTTGCAGGATGTTTATGGCTGGTGAAGAGAAAAACCATGACAACAACTTGTCTTCAAAGGAGCAGCACCCCCTTTTTCCTACAGCCGTAGTTGTTACGGTGGGGAGGGGAAGGGGTGGGTCG